CCCCCCGCGGACCCCCACCTGTGGTCCGCTGGGATAACAAGACGCTCCTCAACCTCTCAGGAACATGCCGCCTCCTGAACAACCTGGTCGCCGATGTTCTCTAGAAGAACATCGTCATCTCCGAGGGCCTGGAGGACATCGACCGTCGACATTCTCTGCTCCTGCTTCGCACCTTGGCGGAGCGGCCCGCCTTCCGCCACCGAGTCAAACACCTGACGATTGTGCCCAGCATTGATACCTGGGACTCCATGTTTGGGAGACCGGGCAAATCCCCTCATCTTAGTCTGATGGGGAAGGGTGCGTCGAGAGAGGAGCTCGAGCTGGCCTCTACCTTTCTGAGAGTGAGCGCCATCAGGAAGCTGGACGAGCAAGCCCAAACCGTGCTCAACACGGCTGGGCTTGAGCTCGCCCAGAGCAGGTATCCCAGCAACCACAAGATCAAGAGGTCAACCCCGTGGTACGAGAGGGCGCTTGCCGCGTTGGTCTGTTTTTGCCCAGACATCCGAAGTCTTCGCTTTTGGGAGCCTGTCCCGAGTTGTGGATGGCGGGAGTCGAGAAGCGTTGCGTTTGATATAGACGGCTTTGAACGCATCATTCGCAATTTCCGAGAACATGCTACAACAAAGGGGAATATGTTCCAGTTCCTGGAAGCTGCGTCTGTCTTGTCCTCCAGACAGAAGCTCCAGCCCAACGAGGCCTTCTCCGTCTGGTCCTCTCCCAGCCTGACTGGGTTCCAAGCCCTTGGGTTCCTGAGCATGAAGGATTGGTAATCATTCCTCTTCATCGTTGTGTCTTTTGCTGCCTTTTCGCTGCGATCATCTGGCTAATGCACGTGTTACTTTAGGCATCGTTTGCCCGTGTTCGACTGCAGCTCGACCTTGACCCACCTGGACATCGGCCACCTCTACCCACAGCAGTTCCACGGTCGATGGACCAACTTCGACCGACCAAGTACAGCTCGCGCCCTCGCCGCCTCTGACTTCAGGAAGATGCTGTCAACCTTCACGAAGCTCAAGTTCCTTCGGGTTTCCCATGCTCTTTTCACCAGCCATATCGGAGTTGCGACCATGAAGTTTGGAGACTTGTTGACGGAGCTCCTTCCGTCATCCATCGAACATTTCGAGGTAGCGGTCTTCAACCACGGCCAAGATGCTTGGGTTGAAGACTGGAACATTGATAATTTGGTTATGGCCTTCTTCAAGGGCCTTGGATTATGGAACTCGGAACTCCAAGAGCAAGAATACCGGGGCAATGTCAGCGTCTCATACCCGCATCTTCGCAAGTTCGGCATAATGGTCCACAACAAAGGAAACAATGTCGACTTGGCCGAGTTCTGGAAGGATCGGCGACGCATCAATTACGAGAGGCTTTGGGAATGGCTCTTTTATGGAGAGAACTTCTTGCGTTGGCACAATTTCTACTACCAGTGGGCTCATGAGTACAGCCTTCCTGAAGAGTTCAGAGAACAGGAGGAGCTTTCGGACGACGGGCTTCCTGCCGATGAAGTCGAAGACGAGGATGAGCAGGACGTTTCTTCAGACGCCGTCAAGAATGGGTATCGTCAGCGAGGAACCCTAGAAGCCCTCCATAGCCACATGGAGGAAATGCGTGTGAGCTTTCAGGTCTCCACCTTCCAAGCCCAAGCGAGTTATGATGGTCCAGAGAGTTTTCTTTATGACGAGGACAAAGTGATCCAGCTCTTACCTTGGACCCCCAGGGGTAATCTCAGAGCAATGTACGGCGATTGAGGTAGGGATAAACCTATCAGTAACACGAGTCACCACCACAGACTGGAGATCATTTGCTCAGATGGTTACATACTAGAGGTACTCTGTCTTCGTCGCTTCTGCTTGCTTTAGCAGACTCTTGCTCAAAGGCTCATCACATCGCATCGCTTCGAAGGGAACAGTTTGCCTATCGACCGCCGATGGCTGACCACGAGAGGACATGGAGCCGTGTGGGAGGCCAAACAGGAGGCGGACGATGACACCAGGGATGGCGCCGCGATGAAAGTGCCGGTGTCGCTCCGGAAGCACTTCATCAGCTCGATTAGGATCCGAGAGAAGTATGGGAACGCTCCGAGTCAGACTCGGGTAAGCAGGGTTCGACTCCGGATTGTCCATCTTCCGCCACCAAATGTCGGCTAAAGGGGTTGACGTTTGTGAAGATATCCTTCATCGGCTCATCTGGAAATTTGGGGGCCCAGTATCGGTAGCACAGAAGGCGGTTCGCGGGAGGAGGAGGACGGTTCATGAGAAGAAAGAGTGATATTCCCACCAAAAAGAGATAGAAATTCTCGAAAGATTGAACAAAACTAATGTCAATGTGAACTGGAAAAGGAAATGGAACAAAAAAGTTGGGGGAAGAGAGTCGTCTCCTCAGCCGATTGTCTTCACCATGCGCTCTTTTCCCACAATGATCCAGAACAAAAACTTGACTACAATCCTCTTTGCCTCGCACCTTCTCACTTTCCACGTATCTCAATGCTAGCCCTCTTTCCTTATTAAACCTTCTCCTTCCCATCGTCACCTCCCCTTTTGTCTCTTCTCTACGCATTGGTCTCCACCCCTTTATACTCCTTACTCCCCACCTTCATCTCCCAAGGCGCAAACACGTTCTTGCTCCCCTTCAGCGTCTCTCTCAACTCTGGGAAATGTCTTCCCAATACATCCTTCATCCCGCTATCCTGCACCCATCTGAACCCAACCTTGGTGTACATCTTCTCGTTCCACTCCCCGGCAATAAACCGATCGCTCTTCAGCCTCCGGCTTGCCATCAGGATAAAGATCCTGAACGCCGTCTCGCTGAATCCAAACCCTGGAATCACCGGCTCCGAGTGAGACCCGACCAGAGCGTCAACGAGGGTGATGTCATTGTTATACGCTTCGGCCAACTCTGCTGCTAGGACCTTGTTGCCGCCGGTGAGATCTTCAAATGTTTTGGGGACGGACAAGCGGAGCATCCGCCGGAATTCGCAGTAACGAGGGACGCCACGCTCGCGGTCGCGGAGGATGTCAACTGTTCCCAAGTCGCGGACTTGGCCGTCGGGGGTGCGCAGGTTGCGAAGGAAGTCGGGGTAGTTGTTGTTGGTTATGGCGCCGGGGTAGTTGATGCCGAAGGAGTAGAAGACGTCGGCGAAGGAGAGACCTGCGGAGTCAAAAGGGTTTGGGATTTGGTAAAGGTTGTGTCGACTACGGGGATGGTGGTGGCGTGGTTGCCCGAAGTGGCAGAGAAGAAGGCGATTGTTTCTGGCATCAGAGAATGCATCCGATACACCGACACGAACTCTTCGGTCAGTGAGTACGGCGTCCCATCCTGCTCCGCTCCGCTGCCGGGAATGCCGCTGATGATCTCGCTCGTCTTTGACAGTCTTCCCGCGATCTTGGTCAGCTTCTCCCCGACAATCCCCCACCAGTTGGCAGCCATTCCAATCTGCAGCGCCGGATGGGCTAGGATTGCTGGCGTCCACTCGACTGTATGGATTTTGGCCATCAACGCACAGTTCACCAACCTCGCTTTGTCGAAGATCTGGTCCCCGCTCCAGTCCGGATAGTCCTTGCGGAGCGCATCGCAAATGGCGTTGTGCTCTAGCGCAAACAGGGTGTGCAGGATCTCCATGCCCACCCACCAGTTGTCGTTGAACCCGGTTAGGACGTTCCCATCTTGGTCGCGAGGGAGAAACTGCTCCCGTCCACGACTGTCAAGCGGTAGCTTACCATCCGGATTATGGTTGCGGAGTTTCTGCGTCACGGACTCGGAAGACCCATAGATCTGTGATCCGTCCCACCAGGCTGTATTGAGGTTCTTGTACCCGGGACACTTGATGTCGGATGAGTCCAGAGTCTCGTCAGGCTTGGTGGCATAGAGGCTCATGTGTTCCTCGAGCCACTTGTCATCCTTGGCTAACGGAACGTTGAGTTTGTTCTGGAGATCCTGAGACACAAGCAAAGAGAGTCAGCCAATGGTCGGAGTTACGAAGGGAAAGAAAGGAAGAAGCCGAAGCCATACGAGTACTGGCAACACCCGATGTCGTACAGCATAACAACAACTGCATGATCGGCAAAGTCCCCATCCCTAAACGGAACGTCTCACAGATCACAACGTACCTGTTCATGAAAGAACCAATCATGCGTCTGAAACTGGATCCAAGCCGCCGCCAACAGATTCAGCGTCGTCGCGGGTATGAACTTTCCCTCTTTTCTTGCCATGAACCTCTCACTGATCATCCTTGGATTCGGCGTCATCAACTCCTCTTCGGTGGGTTTCCCACACGCCTCCCGCGGGAAATTCCTCCCAAATCTCATGCCGTGCAGCCCATCTTTGGCTGCTTCAAGTCATTAAACTTTCCATCGGAGTTCCGAGCGCCCAGGTAGCGCCTGTTGTCCAAGGGGTCGGTGATGGATGAGCCTTGAGCTGTGGGAGTGCTGTAGGCGTCGTGCAGGTTGTATTGTTGGAGCTCGATGCGCAAGAAGGCGAGGTTGAAGGCGCCGATGAAACCGGGGAGTTTGTACCATGGGATTAGCTTGTTGAGGAGGTGGAAGGAGGTAATGCCGAGGCGTTCGAGAAGGGTGGGGGTGAAGGAGGGATGGAGTTCGATTTGTTTCTTGTCCTTATCGTCATCTGCTCTAATTGCACTGGAGGAGACGGTGCCGTTTGGTTTGGAGAGGGTGTCAGTCATCTTGATGAGGTGTTGTGGTGGTTTACACCTTTGAGAATTTTGGGTGGCTGTTGCTTTGCTGCTGATGTTCTTGAGGTATGTTGATGATGGTCGTCTTGCTCACTTGTTCAAGCGAGAAACTGATGAAAGAAACCCGAACTCCTCTTCAGACTCGGACCCAAGACCCCCCGCGGTCTTATACCTGTTCCTCCACGCACTTGATGCTGTACGATCCGAGATACAACACGCAACCGCTCATTACTACACCTTCAGCTCGACTCTTGTTACCCCCTTCGGGTGATCCGTGACGCCAATCCCGCATACCTGCGTATCTCATCGGCTACCGCCGCCATGGATGCTACCTACATCAATACTTACCGCTACCTCTTGAAAGGCTGAGTCCCTTGAGTCTCTAAAAATTTGAGATGTTGATTGGACAGTTATCCGGCGTGAGATCCGGGGTCTTGTCTGAACTTGTCGTGGGGTGGTAGGTGGCTTGCCGATGGCTTACATGAGATGATGCCTGTTCCCTTTCGGGAAAAGACATTCATTGTGCTTCTCGTGGTAACCTCCAGATTCCAGACCATCGAGTCAGTTGAGATGTTTCTGTTACAGCACAGTTCATCCCCTCAAATGCTGCCGAACAAACGTGGGGTTTCCTGTTGCACGATACAGCGTTACTCGGGTCTTCAACAAAGGCAGCAACTGGACAGACAGTGGTCGGACACTCGTATCTGGAATTGAATGGTGTAATCAAACCAGCCAAAACCGTTGTTCACTGTTCACATCAGTGGATGAATGGTTCCGAGTAAGTAATTCAACCAATCATCACCGAACCCGGACTTCACCGGTCAGCCCATCAGCCCGTGCCGTCCGCGGCGGGTGTGATTGCAACCTTCAGGGATCAGGACTGTGGCAGTGTCTGTCAGTGGAGGCAGGGGGTTCGGTCATCTTCCCAATGGAGGTTTTGAAGCTCAGCCCTACGCTACTTTTTGTTTCCTGTTCAACGGCTTGCTCTTGATCATTTGCTCGTCGAGTGTTCCGGCGGTTGACATGGCGGTCAACATGGCGACGCAGGGGTGCCAAGACGTTCAAGTGGGTGCGCTGTTAATGCACTATCAAATCAGCGCCATACCGGCGAGTAAGTCCGTTAAGCTCACATTTTACTCACCACTATTCTTCGCAAATGGTAATAGCAAATCCAAGCTCAACAACTCGCGGGCAAGATATCACCAAGTCATATAAAGGCAATTTGGGTGGTCTTTTTTCTTTCTTTGTTTTGTGACTATTATAATGAGCTCGGCTCCCAACCAAAAACCTCCGGCACTTCCTCCGATCTTGATCCTCGCCAGTCCCTATCTCGCCAACAACCAAACAGCATCGGTCGGTCACAAAACCACCAGACGAACCCTGTTGCAAATTGGACCGCCAACTCACAACAAGTACAGACAACCACAACAAGAAGCTCAACTTTGCAGACATGATCAATGTCGGGCCGGTAGGTGGCGGGGTTAGAACGAGAGGCTGTCGACTTCAACTTTGCAAACTTCGTATCATCGACCTTCCCAAAGGTTGAAGTTGGCAGTCTCTTGTTCCAACCAGCCACATACAAGCCCGGCATTAACCAAGCTTACATCGCTAAGCCTCTGGTTGTCATCGTCTGTCCCAGCCGTGGACCGGTTGCCACCATCATCAACGAGGCGCGCAAGTTTTGTCATCGTGCGATGTCACTGACGGTCTTGGAGAAGATGGAGTTCGTCAAGGACTGGTTTTGATTGAAACTATGTGATTGGAACTATGTGTTTTGGAACTAGGTTCAAGCGAGTCGGCGAGCTGGGCGATGTAAACGGTAGACCCATCCATCCCATGCATGAGGTTGGTGATGGGAGAGCAGGCTCTATGGGATGGATGGGCCTGCCGTCCACATCGGCCCTGCCCAGTCGTAGCCATTGAACTGCTGGATGGCGTTGCGTGCATCATCAGGGGCCTCGAATACAACGATACCGGTCCCCTTGGGGCAGGCATCAGGTGCACCTGTTTGAGTTCGGCAGTGTCAGACTTGATTATCATGAGCGGCTCACAAGGATGGATTTTACTTACCAGTCTCAGAAGTGACAATCACGGCGCTCTCTTGAGCTTGTTCCCTGGTCACGGCAGTGAAGCGGCCTGTTGATTGATGAGTCAGGTTAGCAGCCATACAGAGGTGTCGAGCATGTCGTCAGAGCATGCGCTTCGGAAGTGGTGACTTACCAGCCACTTGGCCGTAGCCGCAGCAGCTGTCACGCCGCCAGAGCGAGGTGCTCCAAGGGGAAGGAAGGTATAAGACGGGACGGCAAGGAGAAGGGTCCACTCGAACTTTGGGCAGCAGCTGTCAAGCACCAGAGCAACAGCTTGTTGACGTCAGGCTGTCCTCCGAAGTTCATTCGGATTGCAACAACAGCTGTCATTCGGCCAGAGCAGGTGGTTGTTTAGCCCTCGCAGCCCGCCAAAGTCGAGATGAGACCTCCTGTCGGCACTGCCAGTTCCTTCCATGTGGGGCAAGACTCTTGCCGGTCTCGTCGTTCCTCTGCCGTGTCTGTCGTCCCTTGCCAGCCTGGTCAGAGGAAAGCGGAAGGAACGAGGTGGAAGCATATGGTACGTACCTTTTGTGGCTGGGACCAGCAAAGTGCGTTTGCTAACCCCTCGTCCGGTCTTCGAGGGGCACATGAGGGCTCGAGCTCGACTGATGTGGAAGATTGGACCAGACAAGATGATGCCCCAGGCAGCAAGTTATTATTGTGGTTGTCTCTGTGTGTCCTTATGGCGACGAGACCTTATGAGCGCCATCATGGTGATAGTTGTGTCTTGTGTGATGAGCTTGCCTGTAGGGAACCGTTCGAGATGGCCATCACTTAGAAGTATCGTATAGCTTGGATTTGACAGAACAAGTCATTATTTTCAGTTGCAAGGCAATATTAACCATCTTTTTCCTCGATAAAATGCAGTAATGGGTAACCGTGGTGACGGCAAGCCTGGAGAGGGTGAGTGTCCCGACAGCTTGGAACCGCCTTCTGCAGCGGCACTCACCGGGTACAATCTTTTTCGCACAATAAGAGCCCACAAGTTGAATAAGAAACCCCACACTGAGCTCAAGGCGGCAGGAAGGACATCCTCATATCTCTACTATATAACCAGCGTCAAACGTGGCACACTCCTTCACCTTCTCGTTGGCCACACTTCTACCCAAAGTCACTCCTGCTTGGCTTCAAAGCGCGCTTCTTCTTTCTTGACACCAGCAAAAACAAACCAAGAACACACATATTTCTCTCTCGTCAGCACACCCGGCGTCGTCTTCATCCAAGATTTCAACAAAAATCTCTCTCGCGACGTAACCAGCATCGCCATCACCAAGGTGAAGCACCAACCAAACCTCTCGTCAAGACACGAGACAGCCATTACGGGCATCCATTTGAAGCGCAGCGTATGTTATTCCTAATGATCTTGCGGCCCGGACATTATTGACATTTCATTCGTAGCAGGGCAAGGACAAGACGCCCAACCCTCGGCAGTTGACCCCAACCAGCCCTATAGCCATTACGAACCAAGCTGGGCTCAAAGCTAGCGTCCAGTGAGTTGCCCCTCGACCTCAAAGCCTAAAGCTCAATATTATTCCCCTTCTCCTCCCTTCAGTTCCCTATTTCTACCTCTCAACCCCTCACCACCGCCTCAGAATACAGAGTTCATATCATGTACTAACACAGAATCAAACCAGAACCATGGCCACCGACGACAACCACCCGTCCCAGCCTGTGGTCTCGGTGCCGGTGATCGTAATCACCTCGGAGTCTCAGATGAGGACGGTGACCAGGACCCTGCCGCCCACCAGCGAGACCACAGGCTGGGGGCCCCCGTCGCACCACCAGCACGACCACCACCACCATCACCGACACCACTACCACGTTTACGACGACGACCATCACGTCCGAAGAGATCGTCGAGGAGTCGGCCGCCGTGACAGAGTTGACGGTGAGGACCGCGACGCATATCCTCACCCGTATACGTCTCTAAAACTGTCGATCTGGAGCGGCGGCGCGAGCGGACGTGGAAGGACGAGATGGAGCGTGAGGGGGTGGGGCAAAGGACTGGGAGGAGGAAGGTTGCTGCGAACTGTTTTTGTCGGGTGACGTGGAGGAAGTGAACGGGGAATTCCATGAGAATTCAAGGCAAATTCAAGGACGTCTTCCCCCCCTTACAGAAAGTGAAACGAAACTTATGGTGATAATTGAGTGATGAATTATGCCGTGAAATGTAACAGTGATTTCTCATTCGTCCGGTTCATCCACGTCATGAAGTTTCGCAGAGTTGTTCGTCAATCATCAAAACCCTTCAACTTCCATATCCTGCTTCTTTGAACTTCACCTCATCCTAATGTCCTTTCTGTGATTTTTCCCCGTAAAGACAACGACCTGGCAGGCGGAGTGTTGGGACCGAGTACTCAGCTGGGAGATCAAATCTTTTTGAGAACCTGCCCTACGAACTTCACAATCTTTCCTAATTTCACCATCACCAGTTGACCATCCAAAATCTCGTATGCCAAAGACAATATCACTGATTAGATATACTGAAGACATTCTTCCATGATAGAAACATTTATTCCAATAGGTGTCTTATATTCTGTCAAACATGCGTCATTTCGCAACTGCATTCCCAGGCCTGTTCCTTGCCATCGACTTCCGAGTAATATCTTCAGATAGGCTGGACAAAGACGTTCAAGCGACGAGAGCGTACCCCAAATTGATACTGGATTACCTGCTTTGAGTCCATTGTTTGCCAACTTTCCGGGACAGGAGTTCGGAATAACCATCGTATGGCTTTGGACAAGCACCACAACCGGTATATGATGCATTACCAGGAGCCACGAAGAGGCTTTGAAGTAGTTCGTGTAGCAGTTGAGCCTGGTAGCGTGGCTTTTTGAGCGGAGCGTTCGTGTCATCTTCTGCTCGTGGGCCATGTCGTCAAAGCCCTCAAGAGGACTTTTTGTTTGTCGTAGTTGCTTTAGGATGGCTGCAGATGGCATCATGCGACTTCTCTCTCACACTGAAGCCTGTTCTGGCCACTCATGCTTTAATAGTTGAAATCTGAGTGGAGTGTTAAAGTGAGACTTCAACAGTGTGCGACCTGAAGTGGTTAACGACTCTTGGTGGCTTTGAGAAACAGAGGTAGGGTACGCATAAGTGGGAGGTCGTAATGGGCGGGCAGGTTTGCCATAAATGATAATTTTCTTGAATCTTTTGTTTTCATGCTCCCTACATGTTTTGCAATGCAATGATGCTCGGTGATATATGGTAGGTACCTGCGGTGAGAGTCCAGCAGAATTGACAATTATCGGGTCGAGTGTCCGCCGAGAACAGGCTTCTAGGAGCCGTTATCTGAGATCTGTACGATGCAGCGGTCACAATTTATGTCTCCCATGCCCAGGAACCAATGAAGAACCAACTTGTTCACAATCATGTGGTGTTGTTGCGATAAGCCCCGGAAAGTTTCCATGAAGGTCTCGGCTTGTCTCAAGAGTTCGAGGCCGATTGTTGTCATGTTGTGCGTGAGCCTCCATCTCCTTGGGGCCCCTGGGCATGCGCACGAACGTAACAGGAAGGAACGCGAACGGAAGGCTGGCAGGCTGCCCATACTCCAGAAGAAGCAGAAGAAGGCGAAAGGAGGCTGCTGAGTTCCATCAATCTGACAGAGCCACTCGCCGGGCCGCCTCAAGCTTCTGGGTACCTCTACGGCTCTCCCACCTTGGCCAGTGCCAGTCCTACCGTCATCGTCCCCCAAACTGGCAGGCACTCGAGGCAGGAGCGAGGACGATGCCGCACCAATTTTTCAAGACAATTGCCCATAAGGACACGAGCCTGTAGCCCTAAAGCCCACTTTGTTGTTTGCTAACGCAACCGAGAAAGGAATCTGAAGGAGACCCAGAAGATTCGCTCGCCTGCCCCTCCTCTCTCTCCCTTTTTTCTTCCCTACCATCAATTTCCTCACAACTTCACCAAACAGCAAGGTGAAGCCTCAATAAAACCATGATCAAGACTACCAGCACAAGCAGCCCATTCCAAACTTCAAAACAGGCATAAGCTGGTCGCAAAGTGAGTCTCAAGTTTTTCTCCTCTCACCTCCTCCCTCCACTTCCATTTTCTTCCGTGACCCTCGTCAGCCCTCATCGCCATCATCGCATACCTCTCTCCTCCATACCAAAACTTCCCTCGAGACATCGCGAATATCAAAACACTGACGCGTCAAGCTGCCGTCAAGACAAGAGGTACCAAGTCGAACAGCCCATCCCAAACTTCCAACCTAGCAACAAGCTGGTACCAAAGTGCGTCTCACGCCTTCCTCATCATCACAACGTCCTTCGTCGCAATCCTACCAGCTACCTCCTGACCCCACGGCTTGCGTTTCCTTGTCCTGAATTTCTCCGCTCCCTTCTCCTTCCTGAGTCCCAGCCATCATCGCAAGCTTTGCACGAGAAAACTCTCCTGGCGACGTCGCTGATAACCGTGAAGTCAATCAACCAACCGAGCCATCGTCAAGAAGACCAAGAATAGCAGCCTGTTTCAGGCTCATTCAACACCCCAAGCGAGTTTTTCATGATCTTTCATCACCATTGATAACCCAACAGAACTCCCCGCCATCCTCCCACGTCTCAACCCGTCAAGGTCAACACCTCAGCTTCGTCACAACCTCCATAAACTTGAAAGCATTATACTAACACTCCTTTCACTTCTCAGCATCATCAAGATGTCCGACAACCGCTCTTCGCCCGCTTCGTCCCCCCCTCGCTCTGCTCCCTCTTCACCCCGTTCCCCTTCCGCCGCTCCCTCCACCGCCCCTTCCACTCCCCCCTCTCCTCCTGGCCCTCCCCCTCCTCAACCTGCTCCTCCAGACCCTCCCCCTCAACCCCCTCAACCCCCAACTCCTTTTCCTCCCCCTCCTCCTCCTCCTCCCACTCCCACCCCTCCCGCTAACCCCCCGGCCACTATAATCTTCGCCTCCGCCCCGCGCCGCGTCATCACCCGCCGCACCATCACCGACCCGCCCCGGACCGCCCGCTGGGACCCCTTCCTCGAGGTGGTCAGCACCACCACCACCATCACGACCACCACGCGCACCAGCGTGGTCTTTACCACCATCACTTTCGGTGTCAGTGCCAACGGCGAGGACATGGTGCCGGTGCATGTGGAGAGGGTTGCCAGGACTGTGGAGCATAAGCGTGTGAGGGTTATGGAGAGGGTGGCTGTTTATGAGGTTTGAGGTCTCGAGCGGCTAGTCTGGAAAGGAAAGGGGCTTAGTGCCCAAGTGCCTCCCCCAGCCTCAACAGAGAGGTGAGTTAGATACTATTCTTTTCTGGACTGGAAGAAGAGGCTAACTAACACTTTGAAAAACAGGACTGGAGCTATCCGCAAGAAAGGTGTCATGAGTAAATGTAGATGTAAGACAGTACGAAGTTACGACGACAAAGCTACGACGACGAAGCTACGACGACGAAGGTTCATCAACGAGGCCCAACATCTGATCCCAGATTCAAGCGGGCGGCCAGAGACGGGAGAGGCGTGCGCCACGTCCTATTCTCCATTTTCCTTCCGACCAAAGGCCAGAAGAGGCAAGCAGCATAGCTTGAGGTAGCATCAGGATGGCTGGTGTCGTCGTTGGAATGGGTGTGACGCAAACTCAAAAACCTTTGGCTTTGAGCCTTTGGGTTTGAGGGGGGTGATCCAGCACTACGCAGGCAACTGCCTTGTCCAGTGTCCGGTGGTTCCGCGAGAACACCGGGAACACCGAGAAGGGACACGTCAAAAGTCTCTCGCCTCGTCAAAAAGAACGGCCTTTTCAGAACGGCGAAACCCGCAACAGCCAAGATGTCGGTACCCAGCACCGAATATTCCAGCCATGCAGAGCATGCTTCAGGAAAGGCCTTTCTACAAACTCTCAACAGCCAACATGTCGGTCCCGAGCACCGAGATTTCCAGCCATGCAGGGCATGCTTAAACAAAGGTTTCAGATGCGCTTTCCGAACGACGGTCGGACAGAGACATAGGTGGTGATAGCGTGGTTTTTAGGGTAAAATGTCTGAGGTGTATGGCAATGGAAGCAGGTATAGAAGAATAGAAGAATAACCCAAAGAGAAAGAAAGGAAAAGACAGCTGCGTCGTAGTCGAGACTTGAGCCGGAAGCTCTGCATCAAATGACATGACATGGCGCGTTCCCTCCCCACTCAGTCTCAACTCTTCTCGATATATCGTGACACTTTGTGATTGCGACAAGGGCAGAGTTCTGTGCTTGGAACAGTAGTTCAATTCAGCTAATAAACTACTTTGGTCTCGAAGGCCTTGTTGTCCTCTCAACCTCTAGGGGAAGTCTGGGCTTCAAGGCCTTCTTATGGCAAAGGGAAACGGTACGTATCCAGTACGTACGGGCCCTTGTCACCTGAGGCTCTAAGGCACCTAGCGATCTGCATACATGTAGGTCTTTCTCGTATGACACCAGGAGTGTGGCATATGTCCGTGTGACAGTGATACCTTGCTCATGCGCTTTTAGCAAGGTTGGCTGGAGGTAAGTTCTTCCAGCCTCGGTCAGATGCGTCGGCAAATCTGGAGAGTTCCTTGCAGTATTCGTGCTTGGGTTGGATACGATTGACGGTGACCCTGTCAAGCCCCGTTCCATTGGCTGTCAAGTGGTTTCGCGAGACAGTAGATAGTGGTAGGGACAGTGGGAATCTCGTTGATCCTGCTGGAGCTCGTCCTGCTGAACCTCATCCTGCTGAACCTCATCCTGCTGAACCTCGTCCTGATGAAGCTCATCCTGTTGATGTTGCTCCTGGACCTGCTAGAAGTTCCAGCCCGGTCGTCCTGAACCAGCATATCTTCAATGTCTTGGATGAGAGCACCGGTAGGTGTAGTCGACCTCACAACGGGGATAGCTCAGAAGCGGCTGCTCCTGTTGCGCCCGCTGCTGGTCCGGCTGTTTTTGACTTCGGCACTCCCCTCACATCTGGAGAGGAGGAGATGCTGGAGGATGAGAGCCCTGCTGGCCCCAAAACCCGTGCCGCCCGTGGCAAGAAGAAGGAGAACGAGCTGAAACGTCTCCTGCCTGCCCTCCGCGCTGTTGCTGGCAAGAGCTTTACTGCTCATCAGGCTGCTGCGGCTGCTGCCAAGTATCAGCCTGTGGAGCAGTGGTGCTGGGCAGCACTCCCCGTGCGGGTTCAGCGTTAACGGCCAGAACACCGCCAGGGGGTCCGGGAGCTGGTTGACGCCTAGAGGTAAGTGCATGGATTCTGGCAGTCTGGCGGGCCACGAACCAGTTCCGGCAATACTCATCGTTGTGCCTGTTCGTGGTCACAACGCTTGTCTGTATACGTTGGTGGCGCCCTTCTCTGTACTTCTTGGTATCTGTTTTCCGCTAGATACTGTATCGGACCATCGGCTTCTTTGACGGGATGGTCCAACGTGGCAAGCGGCGTTGGAAGCGAATCCGGATTCATCTTGAGTGATGGATTGGTAGGGTAATAGCGGCTTCACAACATCTGTTAAGGTCGCGTTTTCGCATGGAGATTAGTACTTCTGAGGCTGATGAGGACGGGCCCAAGGTGTGGATGGTGGGAATAGAGGAAGCGAAGTGGGTTGTATGGTTCCGCTGGGATTCATCAACTGTTTCATCGTTAGCGTAAGGCAAGAGTCACCAGCGTTGTAAAAGCAAAACATATTCGGGTATATTGTCATTAATCATCGCAGTTGGTATCCTCCTTTACATGTACATCATGAATCCTGCTTCTTCTTTCTTTCCCTCCAAATCTTCCGAAGGGATGGCCCCTTCATGGCCCAAGAGACTTTTCCTCCGCAACAAGCCAGGACTAACGCCTTACTGCGCAGGCTTCACACTCTGCGGATTCCAAAAAACCTCCTTTGGATCCCACCTCTTCTTCACCCTCCTCAACTCCTCATAATTCTCTCCCCAATACTGATCCTGCGCATTTTTCAGCTTCGGATCAACATACCCCGCATACGTCCCAAACGCGCCTGTCCACTTGGTAAGCTGATTATGGAAATTCTCCAAAAAGGTCTTCGTCTTGCCACTCAACGGAATCCCAATCCCATAACTCTGGTAGAACAACACTTTATCTCTATGCGAATAAGCCGTGGCGTTCATAGGCACGTCGGCGATAGCCCCGCCGGTGGCGTCGAAGATGATGAACCAGAGCGGTGTCCCCTTTGCTTGCGAGTCGGTCCATTTGAAGATATTGGCAATGCCGGTGGTGTTGATGAGTTCTTCGCGGCGGAAGGCGAGGGATTTGGAGTAAAAGGGGGTGGCAAGGCCGGAGAGGTAGAGAGCTTCGTTTTGGGCGTCGTGGGCGAAAGCGGTTAACCAGTCGTTGTTGCCTACCCACTCCTTTTTGCCGGGTAGACGGTCGGGGATTCCAGTGGCACGGTACTCGGATTCGGTGCCATAGAAGGTTCCGGTGATGATAGCGCCGGTGGGGTTGAGGATGAATTCGGAGCCGAAGCGGCGATCGAGTTTGGGATCGGAGATCAAGTCTTGCCAGGCGGAGTAGGTTGAGGCAACGTCGGCGGATTTGCCGAAGATGAAGTTGTAGGTGTACTGGACTACATTGGCCGGCTCGGGGTGGGTGCGCACGACGAACTTGGTGATGACGCCAAGACTTGAGGCGGCTCCTCGGAGGCCCTGTTATTTGTTAGTTTGACAACTGTGGAAGAGAACGGGGCTGACATACCCAGAACAGGTCAGAGTTTTGAGTCTCGCTCGCGCGCTGAATCTTGCCATCAGCAGTTACCACTTCCACCTCCACGACATGGTCCAAAGCACTTCCCCACATACGCGACATTGGGCCGAGGCCGCCCTATGAACTTGTTAGTGACTTGGTCTGTCATGGAGTTCGAGTACCGAAGACCTACAATGGTAGCATGTCCACCGATTCCAACATCAGGACACACGCCATGCGCCATAGCTCGGCCGCCCGCATCGTGTAATCTATCCGTGACATCTCCAAGACGGCTGCCGGCACCTATTGTGGCTTGCCATGTTTTGTTGTCCATAGAGAACTGCTGGAAGTTCTTGAGGTCGATAGTGATAACGCCATCTTGACCTCCTCCAAGGCCTAGTTCATCCGAGTTAGCATCCAGCATCTCTCGCCCGTAGTGTCTTCTCTTAATCGAGTGACATACCATAATTCCTACATTTCTCGTTAGCAACTGCTCCTCAAGCTGTCCCGACTTGTGCAAACTCACCCAAATGAATGCCCTCCCGACTTGGCCTGCACCTTGTACCCATTCTTAGTCGCACACTTGATCACCTCCGCAACGTCGTTGGTATCCTTAGGCCTCACAACGGCCTCGGGGACCACTTTGATATCGAGATTATATGGCTTGACCCATGATAGTTGGTATAGAGGTTGGTTTGGGTATGCTGCAAAGCCTCCGCGGCCGTCGGCAATGCCGTTGATGCACGTTTGTAGTGCGCTGGGACCTTGTCCCATTGTGTCTTTTCTTGATCGACGATGGTATCCGCTGGAATAAGGTTGAGCGAGCGCAGGATCGAGTGCGATGAAGAAGAAGGAAGAAGAGAAGGAATGAGAGAACAGGCGGAGAAGAATTAGAGCAACAGAGCTTAAGTGTTTCTAGGATGGAGCAAACACGGGACCCAAGTGCCGAGTGGATTGACAGGAAGTGAGTGATAAACGGCGACTAGGTAAGGCGTACAAGGACATGGGAGACATCATCCAAGCTAAAAGGCTAGGCTGAAGCCATCCATCATGTACCTACGCACTGCACAGAATCCGAGTGGAAGGAAAGAGACGATCAAACAAGGCGCAGCAGCACGTTGACGTTTGTACCTAATAGTAGCCACAAAATAAGGTCAGGCCCTGTCAGGGCCAAAAGCAAAAATGACTGGCGGAAAGCGTCTTCGGTTGACCTCGGACGAGTAATTGTACGACTGGGAAAGGGTAGCTGGGCAGGTAGGCATTTTCCACTTGGAGAAGCCACATTGGCCAGGAAAGCCTGACCGGCCTGCCGGCTCACCGGGTGACATGAGGGGTGGCATGACGGAATCGTTCTGGATCGACGAAACAGATCTTGTCATCTTATCAGGGCAGCCACATTGAAACGCCTTGGCTTGTGGATGACCGAGGAAGAATCCTGTAACGGTTGTTGCTCAGATCCGAGCTTACGGGACATGAGTCGTTCAACTCTCGTCAGATGGGGTCATGGAAGAGTGGATGTGACAAGGTTGATGAGGCTCGGCGGCGGTACCAAAGTTGGTCACCGGGGTCCAGTTGTTTAGTCAAATATCATACCGAATGCCAGCGGGACATGAAGTAGAAAAGACAAAACAAAGAAATCATCACTTGATGTCTGCTAGAACGAGATCCCAAGCCAATATTGAAGAAACGCATACGCAGCTGACATCAACGTCCAGCCTCCGAGTCCCCCAAACAAAGTCGGCCAAGTGGTGAATCCCGAGAAAAGAGAAGAGTGGCTGCCTCGCGCATTTGCTACGTCAACGGGGCAGGGCAAGAAAACGGGATGATGTCGGTGTTCAATGTTGGGAGACGGGTGCTCCATGCCCAATGAGTCCTCAGAACAAAGAGCAAGAAATTCCAGGGGCACAAGAAAGCAAACCTGCTGACAATGTTTCGTCTAACGCGATGCCCGTTGGTTACCGCATTGATGATCACCAGAGTTTTGTTGCGTTTTCGTGCTGGTGTTGGTGTTTCCGTTGCCGCCACCCGCCGGGTACAACCTCGGCATCCGCATCGTTGGTCTGTGGTCATCGAGATGTCTTTTTCTAAACAGGAATACCGAGCGAAGTCAGTTTTCGAAAACGGGCATGACGATGCCCAAAACCGAAACGAGGGACCCCGAGTGAGACTGCGCAGTTCCATTACCAAGCAGCTGGCTCAGGGCTGGGCAGAGTCATGGCATGTGCTCCCAACATTTTGTATCCAATCGCCTGTCACCAGGTCCTGCGGTTTGGCTCGTGTAGTCGAAGATTGGAGGTTTTCTTTGGGCATCGGTGAAAGAGAAGAAAAAAAAAAGAGGTTGGCGGCTGCAGCAAATGGGAAATCCAATGGCCAGCGATGGAAGGGATGACGTTGAGAGAAAGCGAGAAACCAAGAAGAAGTTCGCGAAGGAACGAGGAGGGGTTCGTGACGGGGCATGCAGTGATTGGTCAACGCTTTTGGGGGTTAAGAGTCGCCGGATCCTTGCAAATGCCCAAATATCATGCGGGCTCAAATGGGTGTTGCACTAACATTATATCCGAGGTTTACTGTGCAATTTCTGTTAGCACCGTAGCCGACTCTTACCACATGGAAAACGGGGCTTTTGTCAGATAGTACCCGCCCTCAGATACAAAGCCATTAGCTACCTGAGTCTAAACTCAAGCGGCAATTGCTAAGCAGGCGCCGACCCGACATCCTCCATCCAAACCCACGGCGTTGTCCCATTGTATTTCTCCCTACCTTATATCAACATCTCCCCTCCTAACCTCAACCCTAAACAAGCAAGTTGGTTCGACTACCACCATACCATAGGGTAGCTGACTTGAGCCCGGGACAAGAGGCATCGATCAATCACTAATAACACACACACAAACTTTGAAAGGGAATGATGATAGGGTAGGTACCCTAGCGATTGAAGGACCACGCAGTCAATGCAATGCATGCATGTCTGGTAACGGACACGTACCTAATCACAAATGAGACAGACCCCTTTGTCAAACGAGTTTTATATAACATCCGCTCGGTCTTATTAAGGAGACTCTTCTATCCTCTTCTCTTCTCTATCTTTGCCTTTGCCTAGTCTGCCAACTTTTCACTTTCTAGCGAAATTTGTTACCACCAGAATCCAGATCTCACCACTCGACACGCATTGTAACCAATACCATCAGTATCTTTTACCCAACCGCCTATGTCTCATGTGTGTGTCACACACCACGCAGGCACTTTATAGAGTATGGAGTAAGGTAGGTACCTATAGAGACCCACAACACGAGAAGAAGCCTTTTTGAACACCCATAATGCAAAGGACGCCGGCTGGAATCTTTATGGTAGTCCCGCCGACCTATTATAGGTATATCGACAGATAGCTTAGCTTCCAATGGGCATCATTACTATTTGAGTCTTAACCCCACCTTGTGAAAGCAGGAGGAGGTCCAGGTCCAGGTCCGGCTCATGAAAACTCAAAACTTAAAACTACCTGTTGTACCTGTACCTACCTCTACCAAAAGTGTGTTCGCTCGGATCGTTTCTTAGAAAAAAAAAGAAAAGAAAAAGGGATGAATTTCATAAAATCAATTGATCATTCATTTCATACATCATGACAACTGAAGGGTGTATTAACTAACTACCATAAGCTACTAGACTTAGCTACCAAGGAAAAAAAAAAGAAACGAGAAAAAAACATCAACCGAAAAAAGAAATGATGAAAAACCGTATTTGTAGGTATCTGTATGCCATGGTCAGGTGTGAAGACTGTGAAGGGGGTATAAGCTAACAATAAGTTATCAGGAAAACAGAAGCAGAAAAACAAAACCCTTGTTGATTTTTCT